CAAAGGAAAAAAAGAAATGGGACAAAAAATACGACGATGTGATCCAAAACAACCGTATAAATCTACCGTTGAATGTTAGGATGAAACGAAGCACTGTAACTAACATTGCAAAGCAGTCTAAGGCGAACGATGAGTCATGGACATTAGACGTCATGCTTTACCGCGAAGGTGTTAGGGAAGGTGACAACAAAAAGCCGGCTTTCACATACAAAACAGAATACGGAGAACTCAAATATTACCCCATAACAAAGGACGGTAAGGAGAGAACATACACCGTTAACGCCAGCGCAAATATAGACGAGTATGTAGGCAAACGAATTGTAAAAACCAAGGATTATGATCTATTCAGAAAGTTCATTGTAACACTTGCCCAAGATCCAGAATTTGAAACAATGCTAAATATTATGGGTGGGTATGTTGGCGTTGATCAGAAAAAAACAAGCGAGATCAACAAGAAGAAGAGGTTAACCAAGAAGACTAACGCTGTGGCTTACAACGTAGAGACGGGGTATATTGGCGCCTTGAAGATCTTGAGGGCCAGAAAGGTGGAAGGTGGACAGCCTAGTAATCCACGACAAGCCAACCTGAGAAGATCGGAAAACATCAGTATGTATATTACTTACATGTATACCGAATTGGATACATCGAAAGAAACATTTATGGAAGCAATCCAGAAAGGTAATTATGTAGACAATCAATGTTGGTTGAATACACTCACGGATTATTATAAAGATACCCTAATGAACAACAAGAAGAAAGAACCAATGTCGCGAGGGATGATACTAAAACTAATAAATAAAACAGAACAGGAATTCACAGAGTCGGGGGCGTCAATTGATGACATGATCCCGGTATTTATGAAATACAGAATGCGTGTGAGAATAACAGACCAACTGGGCAAAATCATTTATTCTTATTCGCCAGAGATGTTTGACCGCAACATCAGAGCCTTTTATGCAATGGTCAAAAATAATCATATCTACACACTGAATAATAATATTAAAAGATTGGAACAAACACAAAATACTGATGATGCATTTGTAGTAAAGGCACGGCCCGACTATCATATAAGGGATAGAGAGAAGCCATCGATTTGCAAAATGTTTTCTACTATTGATGACATTTTTGAAATGGTTAAGGCAACAATTGCAAACAGAACCGACAAACAGGAAAAGAACTTTTTAGATTTAGTTCATAGAGAGAATGATCTAAATAATTTTTTTGCGATTTCAAAAATATCGGGTATGAATGCAGGATTATTCACAAAGCAGGGACTATTTCAGAATTGAGGGCGGACTTCAATCATGTATATCTAAATATTAGGTCGCAGTGTTTGGTCGATGACCAAACCAATAGCGACATCACAGTAGACAGAGAAACGGTTTACAACAATATGACTGAAGCGATGTTTACATTCAAAAAGAAATTATTCAAACCAAATCACAAGTCTTATTATAGTCCTACCGATATACAAGTTTTAAATAATTATAGAACCATCGTCCCACAAGGCGAGTTATTCAAGGGCTTGGATAAATTGGATGTTCCAAAACAGGAGATCGACATGAACAAAGCATTTACAGATGCATTTAATACGATTACCAGAATTGGAGTTTTTAATCAGTTTGATAATTGGAAAGCTTACAATAGTAAATGTAAGATCAAGGATGTAAATATATATTTGGTAAAATCAGAACTGACACATCGCAATCTGTTTTTTAATAATGATACTAATATAGTTTATGGTATGTTTCTTAAGCATTTTATGCCACTTGTTGCATCTGGCGAGTTGTCCATTACTCACTACAAACAGCCACATTTCATTCACAAGGTAGATAATAAAAAGTTGGTTGAGGAACTCTGGGGAAAGCGAATAAGCGAAAATATTGAAGAAGACAAGGCAATTAAAAAAATAATAGCCAACTCGATTTTTGGCTTGTTGGAAAAAAGTAAGAACAGCAGTCAGAGATCATTCGTTTTTAATGATCTCAATGAGGCGATCAGCCTTCAGGCAGATGCAGGGGGGAAGTTAAACATGATGAGCAGGAATACTGCCAAGTGGGTTGAGGAATATGATGATGATGGCATGTGGTGCCGTGATAGAGAAGTATCTGAACAAAACGACAATTTATATTATATTCTGAATGTGGTTGATAGGTGCGAGTTGTCCAATGGGTTTCGTTTTATTAAAGAAATGCTATTGCAGTATCATAATTTCAAAATGCAATGCGCATATCAAAAATTGACAGAGAACAATGTTAAGGTATTGAGTGTCAAATGCGACGCTTTTGTCGTGGACTGTTCGGGTTTTAATAAGTTTGGTTTGAGAAAGACTCAGCAGTTGCTAGATTTTCACGATGGGATCGGTGGGTGGAAATTAGCCAAGACTCACGATGAGATCCATCATACATGAAAGCAGTTGTATGAACAGAAGAAGTGTGAATATGTTGATATCCCGATTGTCAAAAGTAAGAGAGTTAACATCATTAATGAGTATGATGAAAATGAATTGGTTGAACTTGTTGAGAAACATAGGTGCATCATGATCAAATCCAGATTCGCAGGAGCGGGGAAGTCCACCATCTGCAAGAACATGGAGAGACTCAAGGGTTATAAAGTGTTGTTCGTGGTTCCTACCAATAATCTGGGTTTGTAGTGCGAAGTGGAAAGCGTCACTGTAAATAAATTCTTCAGTATAGCAGTCAATGACGAGAAGCTAGATAAATACGATCATTCGATGTTTGATGTCATTGTGTTTGATGAGATTTGTTTTAATAATACCTTTGTATTGGCAAAAATCAAGGGCTTTGTTGAGCAGTTCAAGGACAGTAAAATAATGTTGGCAACCGGTGACGCCAAGCAGTTGAGCCCCATAAAAGCACTGACTAACACTAAGAAACACGAGATTTATATGAATGAATGTATTGACAGCATTTTTCCTCATCATTTGTTTTTGGAAGAGTGCAAGCGATTGAAGACTCAGGAGGACAAGGATAAACTTAAAAGTATCTATGCCGACATCTTTGAGCATGAGTTGTCTCTACATGATGTCATCAATAAGTATTTTAAATATGCTGATGACATCGCAGGAACAGAAAGCAATGTCGCATATTTAAATAACACTTGTAGAGAGGTTTCAAGGCAGATCAGGAAGCGACAGGGCAAACAAAATGAGTTTGAAGTCGGTGAGATCATGATATGCAGAGAGTATAGGAAGACAAAAACCTATAAGTTAAATGTGAATTTTAGGTATGAGATAATTAATATTTCCGATCCTTGGATTACCATTGCTAATATCAAAACACGAGAAGAGATTACATTACATATTGGTATCTTGAGAAGTCATTTTATCTTTGCCTTCTGTTATACTTGTCATTCTGTTCAGGGGTGTTCCATTGATGACGATGTCACCATTTTTGATTGGAACCATCATCTGATAACTCGCGAGTTTTTATGGACTGCAATCACTCGTGCCAGGGATTTGAACAGGGTCAAGTTTTACAAATACAGTAGCGATTTAAATGAAGAGTTTAACGCGAAATGCATTATGAATTATTTTGAAAGAAAAGTGTTAGCATACAAGGAACAGGATAGGAAAAACAAATTTGAGATCCCAAAAGACAATTATGTGGATGCCGAATGGTTGAAGGACAATGTCAACGGAAAGTGTGCAAATTGTGGCTGTGGCTTCGTGTTGTCAATGGATTCTGGCAATATAAACTCTAATTTGACTTGTCAAAGGTTATGTAATGATCTTCCCCATACAAAGGATAATGTCATTGCCTTCTGTGCTTCTTGTAATAGATGCTTCAGTGATAAAATAACATATTGATATTTATTTTGTAGTATTATTTATATATATGAGTGAAAAAGACAAGATAATCAGTGAGGTCTACTACGATCAGGCTGGGTTTGGTAGCATCGCCACCACTTACAAAGATGCAAAAAAGAAAGATGCATCCATAACAATGCAAGATGTCAAGGAGTGGTTTCAAGAGAACGTGGAACGGAAAAAACAACTGTCTGGATACAATTCGTTTATTGCCCCTGATATCAACTTTGAATATCAATTGGATCTGTTTTTTATATCAAAAAATGATTTAGATAATCAAAAATATAGGATAGGCTTATTGCTTATTGATGTATTTTCCCGCAAAGCCGTGGTGGTGCCTATTGCATCCAAGCAACCTGCCGACATCACGGCTGGGATCATGGAGGCATTAAACAAAATGGGAGGGAAACCCAAATTAATTTATTCGGATGACGAGGGGAGTCTCAATACCCAAGATCTTGTTGATTTTTTCAAGGACGAAGGGATCCCAACTATAAAACACGAGGGCACCCCCATTTCGCCGAGCGTTTCATTCGCACGTTCAAGGACATGCTTTTCAAGAGGGTTGATGCAGACGAGAAAAAGGGAAGGTTAATATACAATGGGTTGATTATATCCCCGAGATCATGCTGACATACAACAGTAAAATGGTTCATTCTGCCCACGATATGACTCCAAACGATGCCCACAAAAAGGGAAACCATCTTGAGGTCAAGATGAAGCTTGAGATGAACAGAATCAAAACCCGTAAATATCCCCCTGTTAGGGTTGGTGATGAGGTCAAAATATACCGCAAAAAAGGGATTTCCGAGAAAGAAAGAACGAGCAACTGGAGCAGTGTCAAATACAAGGTTTCAAGGGTTGAAAAAAAACTTGGTCAAGATTATTATTCTGTTGAAGGGATGAACCGCCCCTACTTGAGGTCAGAGATTCTCAAGGTTTGAACAAAGTTTTCCAATCTGGTCGCAGTCTTCTTTCAAAAAGTAGTTTTGGGGAATACCCTCGCATCGCCACCGCCACGACTACTGCCACGACTTCTTCTTCGGCTATGATCAGTGCGCCCATTCAGTTGCAAATGCCTCGCGTTGTCACGTGCCACACGGTCAGTCAGTGCAGTGAACCCATGTTTGTTGTTGAGTGTTTTTCCTTCAAGGTTAGACTAAGCTGCGCCATGTCAGACCTCCGCGAACAGTGCATGAAGTTGCAAGTGCAGAATACTGCACTAGCAGTTGTGATTGCAAATGGATGGGTGTGCGACGGTGCGCCAAACCAGAAGGGAAGAATGATTTCCTACAGTGAGCGGTGCAGAAGTGGCTTCTTTCATGCACAACGGTCACTGGCGTTTCACAAAGTTGATAGTGGCGAACACTCCCGTGTCTTGTTTGCTACCTACCGTGGTGACACATGCATCATCACCCCTGACCGCACTTGGACAATCAAGAAGGCAAAGCACGCAGTGCTTCGTGAACTGGAGCTTCCGTGTGCTTACTCAAAGGTTGACGCCTTCTTTGTCTTTGAGTTCTCCAACACTTTCCAAGAAGTGACGAACGCGCGCAAGGTTGGCACAACTTTGTCGAGGAAGGCAGAGGTGGCAGTCATTGAACGCCATCGCTGGACTCCCTCCACTTCATTTACGCCAAGTGGTGGCTACGGCAACACAGTGAGCCTTGAGGGGGATCCAGTTCAAACAGCGCAGTCTCTTTTTGTGACACGCGAGGAGGCGCATGTCCACGGCGAGAGTGCCAGTCCAACCGCCTTCAATTCGGCATTGAACACGGTACAATCCGATGACAGTGACGCAGACGTGACCGATGAAGTGATTGCACTGTCGGACCTTGCCGAGTATGACGAGGGGGAGTTTTCCATCGAATACCTTCAATGTGCCGATGATTTTCAGGAGAACTTGATTCCAGTGGTCGTGTCGGAGTTCAAGGGTCGGGTTCTCTTCACGCTCTTGTTGCCCATGGACACCAGCATCCAGAACACCAAAGCCAAGATGGTTGAGCACATGACCGAGTTGGCTTCCAAAAAAGGTCTTGGTGGTCGCATGATGACGGTGAATGACTTTGACCTTGCACAGAACGGCATGGTTGTGGATGAGACGGACATGCTTTCGGACTACGGCGAGGACGAGACACACATCGGCTTTGTCATCATTCTAAAGTTGAGGGGTGGTGGCATTACTGGTTTGAGGAAACAGCAAAAGAAAAAGTCCGAGAAGAAGACCGGCAAGAAGGACAGTGAGCGATTGCGCAATGACGCCAAGGAGGTGGCGAGTGGCATTCAGAAGAACACGACATTGCCTGTGGTGCAATCAGCGGATGCGATCATGACGGCTTTCATGACCCTTTCGGAGACCAACCCGACCGATGCTTTGGTTGGTCGGTTGAAAGTCTTGGAGGAGAAGGACTTGGACAAAATCCATGGCGTCTTGTCAAAAAATTCGGGCGGGAGCACTGACTACAAATTGAGACAGGCATCTCGCCACTTCTTCAATCCCGAGTTACAGGGCGTCATTGATCTTCATCATGAGACAGGAGGCATCATTGAAACAGCGGAGTTGACTTTCGCCACTACTTATCACCAGTTGTTGGAGACCGAGACCAACTACAACCTTGGAAAGATGAAGGCACTTGTGAAGACTTACCTTGACCGCAAGATTGGAGAACGCGAGAAGGAAGAGAAGGAAATGATGGAACTCTAGATGTCAGTAAGTTTGGTCACCGCCACTGGTGAGTTTGGTCACCGCCACTGGTGAGTTTGGTCACCGCCACTGGTGAGTTTGGTCACCAGCACTGGTGAGTTTTGTCACCACCACTGGCGACTTTGGTCACCGCCATTGGTGACTTTAGTCACCACCGCAATTGAGTTTGGTCACCACCACTGGTGACTTTGGTCACCGCCACTGGTGACTGTGTGTAGCAGAAACCCACATTGGCACAGTTCCCGCAAGGAAAAAAGGGCTGGGTTTTGATATGCTCTGGGATGCTTGGACATCGGCTTGAATTCACCATGTCAGCATTTGAGTTTGTGCATGTCGCCTGTAGGATTTTTGTGCACAAGTGTGTGCTCTGCCTTGCAGGTATTGACGCGGTGAACAACAACCACCTGACTGACATCTACAAGGGGCGGTGTCTTTTTGAGTGGGGGGTGTTGATGGTTCCGGTCCCCTCCTTGTTCATCCGCATATTGCCATCCAATGTCACACAGATTATTTTCAAGATTTGGGTTAACGGTTTAATTCTCCCTTTTCCATTGGTTAACCATTTTCCGGGGCGAACATAGCGTTTCTTTTTTAGACTGTTCGTATTTGTTGGAAATGGGAAAGGGTCTCAGGTTGGATCAAGGGAGAAATTATTGAGATCTTGGGGTTGCGATCTTGGGAATGAAAAATGTTGGTATGTAGCTTGGATTTTTTTGGTGGGATTTGTTGAGGTGGTATGTAGTTATGATTGTTGTTATTGAATGAGTGTAAGGGTGATGTTGAGATGGGGTAAGAAATGAAGATGGGTATGTGAATATGTGTTTTTTGGAGTTGGATTGGTTGGGTGATTGAATTTGAATGTTGAAAATAGGTTGTTTTAGTGGGTGTATTCAGAATGTGCCCAAAAGTGTGGGGGGGACCCTAGGACCGGATGGCAAAATGCGGACGGGAGAGGCCACCACTAACTGAAAG